TTCGTACAATCAGAGGCCATAATCCATGAAGTTTCGATCCGATACATGCCAATATCGAAAGCAGGCGAGATCTTTTGGGGATAAACCTATATTTCAAGTTTCGTCAAAATCGGATAAGAATTGTGACCTGTAGAGAGTCCACAAACAATTGTGGACGGACGGACAGGGGCGACGGCATAATACGTCCACATGAAAATGTGGGCGTATAAAAATAATAAGTTAAGTACAACAGTCCAGTAGGTTTTGCTGCATTGGAAAAAAAACATATTAGTAACGCTTTTTCAACAAGCAATTGTTATACTTTTAGTGATTTGTAGAGCGTCAAATCACAATGTTATTGTATTTTTTTAAATTGTAGATTTTATTCATTCATGTAAAACATTTATTACAATTTTATAATAAAATGTATAAAACTCTGAGTTCGAGATTCAAATCACAAATCCACCTAAGCTAGAAAACTGCAAATCCGAATATTTTTGTTTATAAAATATTCACTTTCCATTCAATAAATATTCCAGTCATCTAGTTTTGGATTTGGGGAAATTCATTCTCCTTTTCTAATAAATACAGATTACCGTATTATTTAATAATCAAACCAAACAGCATGTAATCAAAGAACGCTTGTATCCGCCATATGTAATATCGTCACATGACATTGTTATGTTTTGTTTCGCTTGTGAAGCGTTTATTATACACAGTAGAACTCCAGTGTAGTAAGCCATAACTATGAACAATATCATGTCCCAAATAAATAATCTAATTTGTAGATCTGCAATTGGTCACATGATGGTCCGAACATTATTTGTATGGCTCTATTTGTTGACAGCAAATACCGCTAATAATTATCTTGGATAAAATACCTCGTTTAGTAAACGAGGCAATTTTACCCAGCCTCGTTCTGAACAAAATAACTCAGTCCAAAAACAGGGCAATTTAAAAAACCACGTTTTGGAACTCCAGAGAAACGAGGTATTTTTTGACACGTTTTTGCCTCGTTTGGACAGAAATGCCGAACAAGGCATTCTGAGGTTTATAGTGTATGTGAACAATTGTCTAAACAATAGTTTTTATAACATTTGAAGCCAATATAAATACCTGCAATAGGCGAAGTTAACTCTTGCATAATGTATCTTTAAGTATAAACACATCTTTGTTCTGCGTTACCTGCATATTGCTTAATCATATTTATTTCTAAAATGTTAAAACATAGATATGACGTCACCCTTTGATGTTTTTAACCATTATATAGGAGAATGTACGCTTTTCTTAAACAATCGTCTAATAAATAATGGACAGTTTTATAAATAATAGATGATTGTTTAAGAAAATACCAATAATAGACACGTATCTGAAAAATGAACATGTATTTTGGGATAATTTATTCTCTGAACAAATTAAATTACAGAACATGAAATTACGTTAAAACCTCATAGTTACCGAATTGTCACATGGCCGTTAAATGTCACTTATCCGTTTAATATACGTTTCTATACGCCCACATTTTCACACCTTCTTTGTGGACACTCTACAGGTCATAACTTGAAATATAGGTTTATATCCCAAACATCTCGTTTCCTTTCGACTTTGGCTTGTATGGGACCGTAACTTCATGGATTACGGCCCCTGACTGTACACACTAGAGGTCACAATTATTAGCCCATTTTGATGAAACTGAACATGTGTATTTATAACCCAAAGATCTCAATTCCTTGCAATATTGGCACATATCGGACCGTAACTTCCTGGATTATGGCCCCGGATTGAACAAAAAAACGTGTTTTGAGCCTGTGGAACTATGCAGGTCACAATTTTTATCCGATTATAAAAAAACGTTCAAATATATCACAGTTACACTATAATGAAAGTTGAGTTTGAATTTCGTGAATTGGTTTGTGCCTTTGATCCTGTGTCCTGTCACTTATATCAGAGTATATATTAAATCTTAAATCAAAATTGGGACGGCTAGTACCCTCCATATTAATTACAGTATTAAGAAAATTATCAATATCTAAATCATTCTCGTGAGCAGCCTTTCCATCACAACTTTGACGGCTATTATCCCCCATATCAAGAACATCACAATTTTTACGTCTATAGTCTTCCATATCGAGTACATTACCAATGTAATCAGTATCCAAATGCTTATCACATATATTCTCATTATTAATATTTGTTTTCGACTGTGTTGTAAACATGTCGTCTCCATGTAGAATATTTTGGACTGTCTGTGTATGCTTGCATTGTATGACTGGAGTGTTTTGTCACATGCATTCATGTGCATGTTGTTTTAAGAATATGTCCATTATTTTATGGCTTGTTGTTTTAGAAAACTATCCATTATTTGTATCTCTATGGTGCTATGTTTTAAGTTTGATAATAGCCTCAGACTGTCCATTATGTAAATACAAAGAAAAACTTCGGGGCTAACGCCCCTCAGTTGTTCTTTCTATTTACATAATGGACAGTCTTCGGCCATTATCCATCACTTACATCTATCATTTATTTGAACTCCTTTAATGATATCATCATAAGCGTACATTTATGTTTGATATAATATATAATCACGGCCAATTGAATATTTAACATATGTTGCTTAGTGAAATATATTTACATAATGCAGCTTTGACTTGTGCATGTAGTTTACTGGGTAAAAAGATTGTTAAATCGATAACTTTTAAGGCAAAGGTACATTAAAAACATATTAGCAATGTGAACTACTCAAGGTGTTCTATCAATATTATAGTTTTTGTCATCATTCTGTTATGCATCATGTATGGGATGGACCAGGATTAACACCAGTAAATATTAGTTTTGATCATCATTCTGTAATGCATCATGTATGGGATGTAGAAATGGTTCCACTACCGATGTCTTCTGTCTTGCTCCAGCCACGGTAGTGGCCCGTCCTAAGGCCTTTTGACTACAAAAAAGTTACTGGCCTATAACTCCCTTAATTTCCAATCACACTGACCCCAAACTGTACTGTACATAGCTTAACATATAATAAACCAATTCCCGTTGAAATAAAGGTGAAACCTTGCCCTATAATTATATGATTTGATTAAACCCAACTGCAAAATTTCTGTTCACTTTGAAATGGCCACCAAACCAGAATCACGTGTGTCATGTCACTCGAAAATACGAAAAAACTGTTTGGTAAGATAAGATTATGATTTCAGTGTTCCTCTCTTTACTATTTGTAAAATAATTACTTATCAAATTGTGATGAAATGTGTTGAAAATTTTGCAATTAAGCCTAATTTTATTTGCTCAATGCCTCGAATAGAGTATCAATTGCAGCCGTAGATAAGAATTATCACGGCTATAAATTGCAGCTTGTATGGGATGGTGAATGGCAGCAAAAGGTGGAATAGACAGATCACATAGGATAACAATGAATGTCAATGTGCCATTTTATTTTATTTAATGATAACGTTGAAAAGAACCAACGGTTGTGTATCCTCTAAAGGTCAAAATTTTTATCCGACTTTGATGGAACTTCAGTATATGTTTATATCCAAGTGATTTCTGTTCCTTTCGTTAATCGCGCAATTCTTACTCCCTGGATTATGACCTCTGATTTTACAAAAAATCATTTCTTTCTTAACTTGTGGATTATTTTGCATGGCAACCGCTTGATTTTGTAAGAAACAATCACCATTCGTACTCCCGTCCCAATAATGGGACACTGCCCACAATTGGTAGAATATTTTACTATGCATTAAATAATGAATTTATACACATCTATGTAGTCGTGTCTAATAAAAATCTAATTATATGCTCACATTTTAGTGTGGCACATTATGTCGTCACCCTGTCAGTCTGTCAATAATTGACTTGTGAAAGCGATAGATTCTTTTCAAATTTTATGTGAAGCATTGTGGTCACGAGTGGACGAACCCTATCGATTTATAACGTTCCGCGACTTTTCATACCGGAGGTGTGCCCCTTTTTCCAAAACCTTGTGAACGCGGCAGATTCTAGTTTTCAACGGAAGCATTGGTTTGAACTATTGTGGTCACGAGAGGACGGACATTGCCGATTTAGAACATGGGACTTTTCATTCCAGAGTTATTCTCCCTTTACCAAAAACATTGTGAACGCGATAGAGGGTGTTGTGTTGTTAACTTTTATACTATAAACCACATTTTATCACAAACTGATTCAGTTATCTAACATCTATTGGCACACTGATCAGCAGTGAATTTTCGCTAGGCCGCTACAATCACTGATAAGGATGACATCGATGCAACTTAATGAGCCAGAAATATTAACTTTTTTCCTGCAACAAATTAAATTCCAAAACATTTTTTTTTTTATGTATTGGAAAAATAAAGGCGTTTGACGTATTTGTAGGTAAAATTATTTCCTATTTAGTGTAAATGGGTATTAAAATGACTAAAAGGCAGCATTCCGCCCAAAGCAGTAACGTCTTATGTAAACAATGTACGCGCCATTCAGCCAATGATTGGCGCCGCTTGCTGTGACGGCACGTGTTAAGGCAGTCATCTTTGACAGAAATATTACTAGACTCGTAATTCTCTGTGAAACAGATTGGTCTATTGGGTGAACTCGTATATTGTCCACCACATTTTATCTCGTTCTGATCCAGTCAACTAATATCCATAGCCTAATATAATATATTGTATATTGACGTGTTACATACCCTGATGGACTTTTACATAAATAATACCAGAACTATTTTTAAACCACCTCAAGTTTTATATAGCGCGCAAGAGAAAGTGAGGAGAGACATTTCTTAACCTCCCGGAGAAAACCCACAATGTTGGACATGTGACCCAACTCCTTGTCACGTACAAGTGTGGAAACTAAACCACGCCACTTGACTCAATGACAGACATTATGATGAAACCTGTACGCCTTAACCATTCGGCCCCCAAACCCCCCGTTTTACATAGCCTAATGAGTTTTTGCATGAATGTTAATGTGTTCAATCAAAATAATACCAGAACCATTTCTAATCCATCACAAGTTTCAAACAATATTGGTTTTGTTTATTTTTAAAAAAGAAATAACAAAAGCGGTATCGTACACATGTTTAAAAGCAACAATGTTAATAAATTTTATGGTTAATGTAGCACTACCACTGCCACATATCTTTGATTTGACCTGATCGTCTAGGGGTTGGTTTGACTCAGGACTGGCTACTGTTGTATCTCACTTCTTAAGGATTTCACCATTGAGTTTTGTCACGATACCGAAATCATATATGTAACAGGAACTGTAGCTGCCGCTTTTCATGCTACTAGAATGTGGCCTTGTTCTTGTTGTTTAGGAAAGGAATAAAGTGTCAACACGTCAATTAAATAAATGTTCTTTATATAACTATTAGATGATTCTGGGTTTGAATACATGATTTGTTGAACTGTACGGTGGTAACATATGATTATAATTAGATTTTGATAGGTTGCGATTACGTTATGACTTATGATGTTACGATTAAGATTATGAATACGAATACGGTTTCTGAAATATACAAAATATAATTCTTAAGTAAAATGTATAAACTTAAATAAAATGTATAAATTCAATGCCTCATTTTTTCTTTAATATATACTTATACAGGGCTTTAGAAAACGAGGCCAGACCGGGCATGGTCTGCAGCCAGGTTCTATTTACATCTTGAAACGTACATGGATTTTCAATACTTGTGCAAGTATGCAGAAACAAAACCACATGGCGACCGCGTGCAGAAAGTAAAACTACAAATTGCAATTATTAAAAGAAATGAAAATGATACTTCTCTACAACTTACAAACACATTAAGCATTCCTATAACTTGATTAAACAAATGAATCTTCATTCTTAACTTATTAAAACTTATACTGTATTAATCATAGGTACTAATATGGGCTTCATGCTGCCATTACCAAGTAAAAACCAAAAATCACGAGGTGCCTTACTTCCTCTATTCATATCGAGGCTTAGTGCAATTTACCATAATTGGAGTTACCTCCCCTTAACTGTTTGGCATTATGAGAGACATATTAAATTAATATATAGTTATCAAACAATAATACATGTAGATCTAATAGGAACCAAAATAGTTGTTTTCTATTCGTTTTATGTCATAACAGTTACACAATAGTCTATATTTCAATGTTTAAATTTAACATCTCTTTCTCTCAACCCCAACTCTAAAAGTCTAACTAGCGTGGCGGGACTCAGAAAACCACTACATCATGAAATGGTCGTCTAAAGAACCCAATGTGTGTTTGACTTTAAAGAATCTAAATGATGTCTAAAATTATTCTAGCCCCGCTCTCTCTTATAGGTGCCGAATGACGTGGGCTAATTAGTAATTTTCCACTCACGTGTATTTTAAACAAAAACAGCTTATCCTTGAAGAATGTAAATTACCAACACGTTTACTAAACTTTATCACCCAATAATACATTCTACAGTAGATATCGCTTGTGTGATAAATTTCATAATCTACTGCGATATCTCCCCTTACATGAATTTGATTGGTTAGTTGAAAAGGAACTACTTTTTTTATTTTCAAAGAACAGTTCATTTTCTATTAAAAGTAACTTCTTTTTTTTATTAAAAAACTATTTTTATTTATTTGACCTTGATGGAAACACTGGGTCAATATAAAGTACTTTGCAAGGGTAGAATTGCTGTCAAAAAATGATGTATTAGTACACCGTAATGCAATCAGGTTCAGTTAAAGTGAAATCTATAGCAAAGAATTATATTTATTTTTTTGTGCATGTAAGAAAGGTTGGGTGATAAATAAAACTCCTAATCATTTTTTTTTTTTATATCAGAGCCTCGTTTTTTTTTTAAGTTATCGACTTGTGTTGATTTTTTTTAATATCAAAAAAGACTCGTAGGAGATTCTCTATATACCTCCGTTAACGTATCAAAATAACCAGCATACGTTCTATATTTTTGGTTATGAAATTAGAATCAATAATTTGTAAAGACAAAAATATTGTTTTAGCCACCATTTCTCCATCCTTATCTATGAATTTGACAATATTACTAACAAGGATTAAGACCTTATCTATCTGATAAAATATGTCCCATGTATATTTGGGTTTAATTGTCGATTTTATGAACATGTTGATATACAATGTCATTTTAAAATACAGAAATCAACATCCTTACAAATTATCTATCGAACAAATTCACACAATTCATTTTCACGTTGTCTTAAATCGACCCAACGGATATAATATCTATGGAAGTAATCAGACCTTATCATAAACAATAGTAAATATATGCCGATGTATTTGTTGCATGCTGCATCACAATGATGCGTTTTGAGTTTTGATGTACTGGTTGATGTTTCAAAATGTATCAGTGAAAGCTCACGAGGATGTTCCCTGTTGTTCAGATCGAAAGGAAACTCGATTTAAAATTAATTACGAATTTGAATCACACCATGTATGGTATACTTGATCATTATGTAGTCATTAATTAATTATGCAGTCATTAATCGTCTAACTTGACACCCACCACTACCGCCATGTTAAATAAAAAGCCGAGTATGGTCTAACCCATTATTGGACAGGGTTCCAAATTGTTATGGTTTTGACATGTATAGCAGAATAGGTAATTTGGGAACAAAATGCCATTTGCAACAACCATTATGCCACAATTTTTTATAAGGAACAATCCCCATTCTTAGTCCGTCCCAATATTCGTAGAGTATTTTATAATGCATCGAATGATTAATTGATAAAAATAAATATAATCTTGTCTGATATAAATCTATAATTTATTTATGATTAACATTTAACGTGGTCATAAAAATAAAATAAAACCAAGTACGAACAATCCGAACCATAAGACAGAATTCGAAGTCCTAAAAAACGTTATTATAGGCAAAATAGTGTATTCAAGCAAAATAGTGTAATCAGCAAATGGACTGCTCCTCTTGTACAAAATACATGACAAACAGTGGTAACAGGTGACGGGAAGAGTAGGTTTACCCTGCCTGGCGCCACACCTGCCATAGCTGCATCCAAACTATTAGGCGAAATGTCGGTAAAATAGCGTGATTGGCCAATGAACTATCGGTATGCAAAATGCACGCGATGAACTGTGTTAACGATGTAGTAGACATTATCAGGGAGATAGTAATAGTATACGTGTCAATTAAATATATCTAGAATAATAGCCGAACGTTCGGTCACATTAATAAGATAATAATCATCATCTAATAGCAGGTTAATAGCCTGGTTTACATTCAGTAATCTGAAAATAAATTAGTGTACAATGAACAAAGTGAACATGATGGTATATTTTGAACATTTTCATAGATAAACAAAACATAACATTCATGTACATTGTCTTCCGTGAGCGAATCTACATAAGTAAGCCGATTTTCATAAAATGAGCAACACACACTTTTCATCGATGCAAAATGTATTATTTAAACAATGCACAATGTATTAGGTACATTTCTATGTGTGTATTGTCGGCCGCATTGGTTGGGCTGGTGGAATAGGGAAGTAACTTAGAAGAACATAGTTTGCCTTGAATTTATGAAGAACATCCAGATATATTCTTATGACTGATAAATTACTATATTTAATGCATATTTTATGTTTTTGAGCTATGTCCCATAAAATGAGACGCATCCCAGATAAAAACAATCCAACCAATCGTCCGTAAATAATTAAGACTGTCAATTGTTCAGTTCAACGCCAATTATATATAGAGTATTTTAAGCAAATTACGTACTACATGAATTACGTTTTAAATTGCAGGATTTTTGACATTTTGTTCAATGAAAATTGGAAATGAAAAAATCTGTTAGAACAAATATAAGTTGAGAAAAATAGGCCTATATATAACACATGATTATTTACCAATTGCAATGTACTTTATTTCACATTTACTGGAGTAAATATTTGTCGCTGGACATTTACAAATAAAGTTTTGTCAGGAAAATGTGTATCCATAATGGGCCCATGACGTGACTTTTGAAATAGTTGATATCAATACCTGTATTACTATATAAAAACAAAATAGTATTCCATTGAGCATAACCAGACACAAAAATATTCGAAATATATTTTGAAATATTTAACTCCAAAACGGGTATTATTTCACTGAGCGTAGCCAGGCACAAAAATATTAGTATGACGTACATCGTCAAGTGTAGCTTATATGGTGTGGACTTTAAAAAGAAAGAGTTCAGGAAAAATGTAGGGTTAACAAAATCAAAGCGATAACATTAACGCCAGGTTGACTTACTTTGACACACATTTGTCTGAAGTTGCTATTATACTTTTACTAAAATATCGGATTGATAGTTAAATTGATGAGATATTCAAACAGCTGCGGACACTTAAAATTATGTGTATTAATCGAATGTGTCTTGGGATCAACACGCTGTTGATAATTTTAAATTATCTTACAAATTTTATTGTGTATGGAATTTCAACTGCCAAAAAATATATTTCTTTCACTGGTAATGTATATATATATACGACATACTAAAACTAACGTGTGTAAAACATCGACAGTTTTTGCTTTCTGTTCTTGTCACGACCTGGGGGCCACGGTGGCTTAGTGAGAAAGTCGTTGCCTTGCTAACCTGGATTTCCCGTGTTCGATTCTTGCGTTGGCTGAGAAAGTTCATCGGTATTTTCTGTTGTTTCAACCCCTTGTAAGTAGTGTAGGACTGAGGGCTCGGCAAGGGAAAACCTATAGTCAGACGGATGGGACGTGCACGTAAGGGATCCCTTGGCAGTTGGAAATTGTTATCATTGTAGGCCATGGCGCTTCTCTCCGGGCGCAATTTCTCTCATGCGCGTCTTCATTAATCCAGTCGGAACAGAACAATAGTTCAGATGGAGCGTGCACGTAACGGACCCCTCGGCAGTTGGATTTTATATATGACTAGACCGTCGCACTGCTGTCCGGGCAAAATTCCCCTCATAGCACACTGTATGGCGTATGCCCGTCTCCATTATTGTTAACATAGCACAAACTAAGTTGGCCTAGTTTGTTCCTGAGATGACCCCTCTTGCTTATTATTTTTGTCAAGTCGTATCTTATAATTAAAATACGAATATATCCGTATGTTCATGTTATAAAATAATTGCGTATGACATATTGATAGTTGATGTTGTGCGAAAGATGCTATGTAGAAAGCGTGAAGGACAAATGGGATGTGGCAGAGCGCAAATGTCAAATGTAATGAGAGAAATGTAAAGTGTAGACACGTCAAAAAAGCATTTTCCCACAAAACATTTGTCATTTCACACTTAACATTTGACGTTTTACATTTAACTCTTGCCTTAGAGGTATTTTGTCTTTATCATTATCGGTATAAGGACTTTGTACATTTTACTTATTACATATAACCAATGGAAACCACATTGTCTCAGAGCATTTAATATTGGCAGTGATACCCGTCCATAATTGTTTTCGCTCTAGTAGATTCGATGGAGCTTAGCCATGCAATAACTACACATTTTCCATGTTATTGCACACTTATGCTAGTTTACATCAGTTTTAGTAGAAACATGCAAACGAGCATGGGCATTATTATTGACATTTTACATGCTAAGACAGAACTAATATTCACCTCCAAGGGTACTTAAAATTGTCCAGTCTATTAAAGAGACAATTCTTACTTTTGCTCACTGTTACTTACATTTCCTTCTTTAAAGGAGCTAAACATCTAGCTTAATCTTTTCCATAATATTTAAAAAACACGAATTAGAATTAAATATTAACACATTTCAATCCCAATCGATGTTGTTATCTTACCGTAAAAAATATGGGATCCTAATATCCAATGAACATTTTATAATCAGTACACGAGTCGTGTATTCTATGGTTGCGGACGGCATTTGTCAATGAAAAAGAAAAATATATCCTAAAAGATAATTAGTAATGGCACATTCACAAACGACAAAATGATAATAAAAAAGCATGTAGAATAGACTAATAGTGTGGTATGACATGTCATCAAAACAGCTCCCGTAGGATTTGTATGCTAAAATTGATTTTTTTGTTGTTTTGGGTTGTTTTGGGACCAAGCTATCCAAAAATGTTGGGGTTCAAATTTTCTGACCCCTCGACCCCTCTGGGAGGGGCATTTTTGAAATCGGGACCCCTCTGAACAAGAACATGGCTATCTCCGCCAATAATGGCTGGATTTTCATTATCTGAGTCCATTATCGTGTTTTTTCATCATGCCGATCCCATCGATGATACACTTAAAGCGATTGGAAGTAGTTTTCATTGACTTCCGGTGGGGAATACCAATTTCCGGTGTCAATCTCGGATTAATTTCAGCCAATAATCTTTGGATTTTTATACTCTGAAGTTTATTCTGGTTTTTATTTCATCAGGCCGACCCCATCTATGATACACTTAAGTAGTTCCCATTGACTTCCGGTGGGAAATACCAATTTCCGGTTTCAAACTTGGATTGATTTTAGCCAATTG